CTAGCCCTCTCTTCATGCCCTCCACCCTTCCCTATTTCCAAAGACTTTATTTCCATTTTTTCCATTTCTCAGTATTTTTTCCTTTCCCTTCTTTCCTTTCCCCTGCCCCTGCCCCTCCCACTACCCCTACCCCTTTGGACCTTTTCTTCCTATTTTACATTATCAATTATTCATTCTAATAATTGGTACATTTTAGGTATACAATATAATGACATTCATCATTGGAAATTTGCACCTTTACATAGTCTCTCTTGGTTCTTATTTTTCACCCTTGCCCAGCCCTCCCTTCAACCCCTCCAGTCTTCCCTATTTACAAAGATTTTGTTCCTATTTTTCCATTTTCTCATATTAATCCCATTCCCTTCTATCCTTTCCCCTAGCCATCCCACTTCCTTCCCCTTTGCCCCTTTTCTTCCTATTTCACATTACCTATTATACATTTCATCCTTATTTACACTTTCAGTTTCTCACACCAGAGAAACTATTCAGTATTTACACGTGTGTCCTATTTATTTCACTTAAGAGTATCGCCTCAATGTGCATCCACTTAGCTATAAATGTCCCTAATTTCTCATTTTTTTGGCTGAGTAGTACTCAATTTTATAAAAAAAACCCCACATTATCTTATTCCAGTCTCCAGTTCATGGGCATTTGGGCTGTTTCCAAGTTTTAGCTATTACAAACTGCACTGCTATGAACATGGGTGCACATATATCACTGTGGTATGATTCTTTTAATTCTTTGGGGAAGATCCCCAGCAGTGGAATAGTGGGGTCAAATGGGATTTCAAATCCTAGTTCTTTAAGGTATCTCCATACTGATTTCCACAGTGGTTGTACCAGTCTACACTCCCACCAGCAGTGGAGCAGGGTTCCTCTTTCCCCACAGCCCCACCAGCATTTTTTATTGGTTGATTTCATGATAGCAGCCATTCTTTCTGGAGTGAAGTGGAATCTCAGCATTGTTTTCATTTGCATCTCTCTATTGACCAGTGATGTTGAACATTTTTTCATGTATTTATTTGCTATTTCTACTTCTTTGTCTGAGAAATGTGTGGACTGGGGACCTCAGTAGGGTGTGGGCAGGCCTGCCTGACTGCAGCGGGGTGATTCGGTGTCTTCCACGTGACCTCTCTCATGTTTATTTCTCCACGTCTGTCAGAATATGTATGTCATAGTTTATTGGCCCCACTGGCAAATAGAGACCATATCATTTCACATTTTTCCACCAGCAGTGTTTATTTCCCCAATCGCCATACCTAAACCAAACTTGTCACACATCCCCTTTCTCCTTCATAGACAGAGAAAAGAATGCTAGTGGGAGTCCTTTGTCAGCACAACTTCTGTAACATGGTCACTACCAGTTATGTGTCTGAACTCTCTTGTGCAATGTCCCAGAGAGAAAACATGGCTGAATTGACCACACACCTTCCAGCTTATGCACTCTGCCTTCCTCATGGGTCCATGCATTCAGCTCTGACCCACACAGGGCACCATCCTAGGGACAATGAATATAGTCAAGGTAAATATCATCAGTACTCTGAGGCCCTCAGCTCTTAGTCCTGGGCCTCCAGCTCACACCCATGTGGGGAAGAACATTGTCTTTCATGGAGTCAGTCTAAGATTTGCACTGGGAATTGCCTACAGTATCATCATCAGACCAGATTCCCCTCCTTCCTGGTGATTCTTCATGGGTTTAAAGCATCAGAGACTTGGGTCTCATTTTAGTCTTCAAGTTGTGGAAAGCCAGTTTTTCTAGCACCATTTATGAAAGAGGCTACCTTTCTTCCAGTGAAGGTGTTTGGCCCCTTTGAAAAAGAGAATTTGACTGAGTGTGTTTTTGGATTCTTTCTGCATCTTCTAATCTGCTCCACTGATCCTCAGGTCTGGTTTGTTTTTTTTGTTTTGTTTTGTTTTTTTTGGCCAGTACCATGCTGTTTTTAACACAGGATCTCTGTAATATAATTTCAAATCAGGAAATGTGATATCCCCTGCATTCCTTTGTAGCCCAGAATTGTTTTAGCTATTCTAGACCTCTCTCTTCTGGTTCCAAATAAATTTTAGGAATGATTTCTCTACTTCTGTGTGGTATACTAATGGTATTTTGATAGGATTGCATTAAATGTGTGTAACAATTTTATCAGCATGGGCATTTTCACTATGTTGATTCTCCGTACCCTGGAGCAAGGGATGGCTTTCCATTTTCTGGTATCCTCTTCAATCTCCTACTTTACAGTACTGTAATTTTCAATGTAAAGATCTTTTACTGACTTTTTGAGATTGATTCCTAAAAGTCTTTCATTTTTTTCACTATTCCGCTTCTGAGTACCTTCCCCAAAGACTTAAAAGCATCAAACCACAGTGATATATGTGCACCCATGTTTATAGTGGCACAATTTATAACAGTTAAAACTTGGAAATAGCCCTAATATGTTTCAACTGATGAATGGATAAAAAAAGATGTGGTTATTTTATATAATGGAGTACTATTCAATCATAAAGAAGGACAATCTTGAGACATTTCTGGGCACATGGATCCACCTTGAGAACATATTCTTAAGCAAAATAAATTGAACACACAAGTATAAATATCGCATTGTCACTCTGGTATGAGAAACCAACAGTGTAAGTAATGACCAAATACAATAACAGATGTGGTGAAATAGGAGATGCTTTATTAATAATTAAAATGATTTATGTGAAAAAGAACATATTATTAGGAAATGAGCTGAGAGATAGATTGGGAAATGAAATATATTCTTTTAAAATTATGATATACAGTATTTACTACTTTTATTCTTTAATCATTTTTGTTATAAAAATTATTTTTTCAAAAATTGTTTTTACATTTTATTTATTAATATCTACTTTTATTACATTAAAATATAAAACATTAAAAAGCATTGGCAACATTCAGTTTCCTGTTGGAATTGAAATGAACTTATTTTTCCATTTTTAGTTAAGAACTGAAGTTGATAATACTGGATTCCAAATTGCATTGTCATCATTTGCTAGAAATAAAGTGTGAAAGGAGAATGTAGATTTAGAGGAAGGCAGTGAGTGCCTTTAGAAATTGAGAAAAATGGGTCTTCAAAATTTTAAATTTGGTCAGAATGAAAAAATTTTAGAACTGACTCTTTGCAATGAAAGGAAACAAGAATGAAGTTGTGCTAAATCCATCAAACTGTCTCTCCATTTTGAGTGTAAGTGAGCATTTATTTACCCCACAATGTACTGAGTGCTTAGGAAGCCCCTGGTGAAGAGTGGTAAGCAGAAACTCTCCGATTTTTCATTTTCTTCTTTTGCAAATTTGTGCAGCACATGAAGGAGATGATGCCTCATTTTCAAAAATAAGAAACACTGCCTTTTCCATATTATTATGGTATCAGCCTACAGTTCCTTGTGATAAGAAATTTCCACATCACTAGAGTTGAGAGAAACAAGTGCTTCACTTCTGCCTTTCTGCAATCTCGGGGTTGAGTTAGTCAGCACACAGGCAAATCCTCAGTGCTCATACTCATGTTTTTGTCCCCTGTTCAACAGCAGCTCTCCAGGTCTGGATTGTCACTGTCCCCACTAGGGACACACCATTCACTGCCCCTGCCCAACTTTGGATAAGCAAGGCTTTCTCCATTCACTTTCCACATATTTTTCTTTACATCTGTCATCAGATAATGAGAATTTTCATGGAAATGCTTACTTTTGCTCAGAAAAGACCTTTTAATCAGAGTAGAAAGTAGAAAATGAGTTGGAATTTTATAGATATCATTACTGAACTCTGGGCAGAGCTTTTAGCTCTGTAACTCCTGTAGAATTTAATGACGTAAAACCCAGGTCTGTCTCCTGGAAAATACAAACTTGCCCCACCTTCCTTTGAGGGATGAAAGGACCTCTGCATATCTACAGAAAAATTTTCAAATTATTTATTGTTCTTAGCTACAATAAGAGTTTTGAAAAGAGGATCAAATTTGCAATATATTTTAAAAGTATGCCTTCAGAGTGTCTTATTATAAATGAAGTAAAATATTTGGAAACTGGACAGTATGCCTAGTTTAAATTAATGTAAATTCTTTTTTTGTTTCTGGTTAAACCTGATCATTATAGATATTCTTGTTATTTGGGTTAGTTTATTAAGCTTAATATATAAAATTGTGCAATTAATATGTTAATACAAGTGATGACCACAATACAAATATTTAAATTTTTAAAACATAATTACAGTCAAATACACATTGTCATTAATCCTCATCAAAATCCTTTCCCATGCTTCAAATCCACTTATTGCATTGATACTGTCAGTACTGAAGTAGATCTGGAAGGCCTCTGCTTGACTGTATTTGTGAGGTAGGGTGAAAAATAGAGAGAATTCTGCTACCCAGTACCATCCAGAGGAAAGTCAGGCTCCTAAAACATGGCAGGGTTTTCGTCCACTTTCTTCACCAGATCTGGCACCATTCACATTTAAGCTCTTCTCCAAAGTCAAAATAAACAGGAAGGGTAAACTTTCGGAATCAATTCAGGAAATGAATGTGGCCAAAATAAAAATAGGATGAAAGAGGCTTTCCAGATCTGCTTCAGAAAATGGCAACAATGATGGGATGAGTGTGTTTGAATGAGGAGAATTTGAGCAGGGTTTATGACAAGGTGTTTTTTAGTGCAATACGAATATTTTTTAAATTTAACCATTTAAGAAACTAATTAATCATACCTCCGATTCCTGAGTTCACAAAGTTTTCCACATTTTCCATTTCATTTCTCCATGTTCATAAAACATTGTCCTCACATTAATAAACCATATAGGTTCATTATGTTGATGAAGCAGAAGCAAAAAAACCCCATTATGATCTAGAATACTTATACTATTAGAATACTCATATTACTAGAATAATTACAGTAACAAATTTTAAAGATTTAAATCATACCAATTTATGTCCTGAGACCTTGGCATTAAATATTTTTCATGTGAAATCAACTTCTGAACATACTGAGGAAAACATTTACCTACATTTTCAGAGAGGAGATTTTCTGAGTCACTCTTCCCAGTGACCCCAGCATCTCCTTGTTCCTCAGGCTGTAGATCACAGGGTTGAGCACTGGGGTGAGGATGGTGTAGAAGACAGCCACCATCTTGTCCTCTGCTGGAGACCAGTAGGCCTTTGGGCAGAGATAAGTGTAAGCAAAGGGTGCAATGTAGAAAGTCACCACAGTGAGGCAGGTGTTGCAATTGGAATAGGCCTTGTTCCTGCCTTCCCATGAGCACATGTGGTAGACAGCAAGGAGCACTTTGCCATAGGAACCCAAGATAACAAGGGAAGGGAACAGGAGAAAGATGGTGGTGCTCAGAAAAACAGCATACTCATGGATTCTGTTGGCCCTACTGGCCAGAGTCAGCATGGCTAGGACATTGCAGAAGAAATAATTGATGGCTCTGGACCTGCAGTAAGGAATATGGAGGACATAGACTGTGTAAGGACAGCAGTTGACAGCACCCATTGCCCAGGATCCCAGGATCATGAGCACACACACGCTTCTGTTCACGTGGATGGGGTAGTTCATAGGGAAGCAAATAGCCACATAATGGTCATAGGACATAGACATCAGGATCAGTCCTTCTGAACCTGCTAAGGTCAGGAAGAAGAAACTCTGCACCCCACACCCAGTGAAGGAGATGGACTTGTTTCCAAAGAGGATACAAGAAGCCATCTGGGGAACAGTGGTACAGATGTAAAAGAGATCCATGAAAGAGAGCTGGTTGAGCAGGAAGTACATGGGTTTGTGGAGCTGGGCATCCAGGAGGATGAGCAGGACCATGCATAGATTGTCAGCCAGGGCCATCAGGAAGATAAAGATAGTGAGAATGAAGAGGAAAAGGCCAAGGCTTGGTGGGGGAAACAGGCCAAGGAGGATGAAGTCTGTAGAGGTCTCATTGTAATTTTCCACGGAGTATAAGTATGGTTTACCCTAAAAAGAAATGCAACAGTCAATAGGCAAAGATCATTATTAACGTTGCCAAATTTCCTACTATAATTAGCTTGTGATTTGTTCATTAATTTTAACGTTTTGAAATGAAGAATCAATTTTGAAAAAGTAAATGTCATTTTCATTCTAAGACGCTACTATTTTATGAAACAACTATGTATGATTTAAGAGTTTTATAAAAACATTAAAATTCACAGAACAATTATAGTTTAATAAAACTGCAAGTGATATCAATGCTTTACTGCCTCATAATGACTTACACAACATCAAGTTCTCTTTTATGTTCAAAATATATGCTTTAAAATCCTTGTAAAAGTGCATATTTTAGTCTGGTCTATATTATGAATAAAGTTTAATACACTCACATATAATTTTATTCTAAAATATTTATTTTTCAGGCTTATTCTTAGTATTTCATAGGAAAAGCACTCATTTTAATGAAATACATATCATTTTTGTTAGTCTTTGCCCCAAAACTACCTTGTCCAAATTGCTTTTGGTCAGATATCACTATAAGACTCTTTGGTTCAGATAACTAGATAATGTTCTTCTTGTCATGCACCTTTGTATGAAGTGTCAGTGATTCATACTTATTTACAGTGTTGATCATCACTGTTCCTCTTTAACTTCTTCCTCCACATCCAAATGTATACCAAGCACACTGAAAGACATTCAGCATGAGCAATCATTTGAGAAATGTATGTTAGAATTACAAGGGGACACCATTGCACATTCAGCAGGAAAGTCCTCATTAAAGAGCCAAATAAAGCAGAAAATATTTCTTGACAAAGACATAAAGAAATTGAAAATCTTTGTCCATTTTGGGGAGAACTAGAAATAGTACTGTCACCATGGAAAATAGTATAGTGATCACTCAAAAAATGGAAAGAATTTGAATACAATCTAGTACTCCATGTTTGGATTTGTATTACAGCTATTTTTTTAAATTAAAATAGAGTTTATTAGATTTTCTTTTAATATAAACATGAAAAAAACCACATTAAGTTGTAGCATTCTTTTTGAAATAAAATCAATACTTAAATCTCCAAGCTTGACACTCCATGAACAATTCTTTTGTAATATGTCATATGCCATTATTTAAGCATTTATGTCTTAAAAAAATGATGGAACCTGAAGCACTCAATGTAAAATGGGAAGCTCTGCTATGCTGAGAGGAAGTATTCCTGGCCAGAAGGGCTGTGTTTACAGGCAAGATTCCTAGGATTAACTGGCGTGGTACTGCACGCCTGTAATCCCAGCACTTTCGAGGCTCAGGCAGGAGGATCAAAGTTGAGTTTGAGGCCAGCCTGGGCTAGATAGTGAGACCTTGTCTCAAAACAAAACAAAAACCAAGAAACCTAGCATTACACTTGATAAGGTTAAGAGAAATAGACTTTGTGTAACTGGAAACACTAATCTTTAATACTTCACATTTAGGTAACATTGTAAATCTGCTAAAATTACTCTCTGCCCTTCAAATTGTGAAGTGTTCCTAAGGTTCATTTTAAGTTCTCTCAAATAGGTCTTGAAACAGGGCTCCTTTATTCAGATTTAAGGTGGAGACTTTTAAAAGAAAGATGCATTATCACCTGCTATCAAGTCCAATTTCTTTGCATTTACCACATGTGAATTAACACTGTTCTTCATAATCTACCAAACCCACAGGAAAAAAATTAGGTGATCAAAGCAGATAGAGCACAGCTGTGAAAGGACTACTTTGAAGATTGAGGACAGTTCTGTAGAGAAAGAAAGTATCCCCCAAATGAGTGTAATTTTAAGCTTTGGTACCCATACCAATAGAAGTGTAGGCACTACAAAATTATATAACATCATTTGAAAGTTCTAATGGCTCAAAGCCAAGATACACATCCAAGTCAGTCTGACTCACCACTGCCGCACTCGGCTGGCCAAGGGCATTGGAGGCAGACACTTATAAGAGACTGGAACAAACAAAAGGCAAATATTACATATTTATAAAATTAAAACTTTCAAATCATGTTTTGCATGTGTTTGTAGTGTTTATACTCCTGCTGCAGTGCCATGGACGGCCCAAGCACATTATTACTCTATACACATATTACACAAACTTTTGGACACTTTGTATCTTACTATCTGCTATTTATCAGTACAACATGTGGGTTGGCATTATGGAAATACAGTAAGTCCCCAACTTATGAACGATTTCTGTTCCAGGAGAATTGTTCATAAATTGGATTCATTCATAAGCTGACAAAGTGAGGTAATTTTTTTGTGTGTGGGGGGTACTGGGGATCGAACTCAGGACCTTGCACTTGTGAAGATGCGAGCACCACTGAGCTAAATCCCCATCCCCCAAAGTGAGTCTTATACAGTAACCTGTGAAAAGGTTGCAACTCAAATGTTAAATCAGGGACTTACTGTATCTTTTAATACATTTAACAAGTGGAAAATGATCAGAAAATGAGAGGCACCATTAATAGCTGACAAGAGATGTAGACCCATTCAGTGTAGACAGTCAATAACTGGTATCTTTTTGTGACCTCAAACATGCCAAGATGTTAGTAAGTAGTGCTTGCAAAGATTACGAATGACAAGTGTTATCCAGCAGATTTTTTGGTTTAACATGTTCACAACAAGGCCCTAATTTGTATGTCTTGCTGCTGAGTGGCTTGAATCACCACTGGTGATATTTGCAGGATTGTCCCATTCATAACTATCGTTTCTACCACCAGCGGTACAAGCCGCCCAACGGGACAGTCATGCAAGTACCGCCAGTTGTTCAAGTGAGTGTGAACATCTTAAACTGACTGCCAATAATGACTAGCAGCTTCCATGGTACAGGAGAAAGGGAGAACCTTTAATAACCTAGCAATGCTACCATCTACTTATAAATGGCTTCATGAGTGTTGAGTCTCATGTTTTTGGCTGGGTGTTGTAGCTTAGTGGCCGAGAGCTAGAGAGCTTGCCCAGCACATTGCTAGGCCCTGGGTTCTGTTTCCAGTACTGTGTAATTGGAAAAAAAAAAAAGAGCCCCATGATTTAATGGTAATACTCCATTGATTCTGAAGGCATATGCAGCAATATGGACAGGGGTAACAGGAAACACATCAAAGTTACATTGTTAGTGTCTTTAAAGTCTAAAAATTTAAAGTAGTAATTTAAGAAACCTCACACATTTCACAGCTATTGGCCTACAAATTAAGCAGGTATTTCTGTGTGAGTTGGGAGCTTCTGCTTTGGAGTGATTTTTTTTTTAACTGTTTACATTAAGAAAGACAGAAGGTGTGTTGTTGCTTTGACAAAATCCCATTCTCTCTATGGAGTGCAACTGTCATTGTCCAGGAGTCTCTTGAATTCAGGGTCTTTCCTTTTGGTGAAAATACTAACTTTGCTGATTTTTGAGCAGGAGAGGTGGTATTTCTCCAGTCTATGGATGAGGGGTTCGTGATTTTATTATCCTTCATTTCTCCCTCTTAAGAGCGGATAGCATTAGAGTGCTGAACACCAATGAAATTGTCAGCACTCAAAGATCTTCGTATTGCAGCTCTACCCAAGTCTTTGTCTTCACACAATCTTGAAATGGCCTCTAGGTTCTGTGCTCTCTCTTTGCTGAGAGGAGCAAACAGAAAGTTGACGTTATTGTCATCTGCTAAGGAGCGTAGGTCGAAGTAGTATTTGGCATTAACACTAGCAGGAACATTAATATTAAACTGGAGTATCTCCAAGAAGTGCCTTTCCATCTCATTCATGTCCTCAACTGTAATGTCCTTGAGGATCTGGCAGTAGTCCACATTCCACACAGCCTGATCGTCCCAAACCTTGGAGGCAAGAAGAATGGCTCCCAAAACAATTCTTTTCCAGTTAGTGGGACAAATGTCAATCTCAGCATAAGTTAAAAACCTTTCTAAGTAAACCAAAGTTACTATTACACATTCAGCTGTTAGCTGTGCGGCACTAAAGAGGGTACGAACAAATCTGTAAATAAATTTGTGTTCAGGGTCATGCTTAAAGTACTCCTCTGGAACCTTCTCTCATGTGAGTGGATGTGACCGCTCATCGAAAATCTCCAGGGATCTATTTGCATCTCTGTTCTTTATGTGGTAATATATTGCTAAGGTCACACATTTTATTGTGGTTCTAAGATTAGGCTGGCTGACTGTGCTGTCATCTAGAAATATTGTTGAGCATGAGCTATACTTTTTAGTAAGCTGCCCTGGAGATACATGGTTTAAATGGTTGCTCTTCCTCTTTTCACGCACATCCGTTTGAGATTTGCTCAGGAAAATTGTGCTGGCCCTTGGATGGCCAGGAGGGTTTGACTCCAAAGCTAAATCTTCGGGCATCTCCTGGTCGCTGATGTGCTGCAGGTGGTGGCCCATGCCAGCGCCCAGATCCAACTCCCAGGGTTCCACGGCCGCTGGCGCCTGCGCTACCCCCACCGCCACAGCGTCGCCAGCCGCCGCCAAGCAAGTCTCAGACTCATAGTTGGTCTCTGGCGGCTCCTTGCGCCCGCCCAGCTTGGGGCTGGCACTGGGGGACATGCAACAGGTCAGCGTGTTCCCCATGGGCGCCGGCGCGCCTCTCCGCCCTCGCCAGTGCCTCACGTCGCTCCGACCCAGTGGCACTCGGCGGGCGCCCCCTCCCCCAAAAATGGCGCGAGCAGCCCCCGGTTATGCCAGGGCTTCTCCGCGCGCGCCGCCAGCCCGCCCGCCGACCGCCCGCCCCGCTGTCCGGCCCCGGGCAGGGCTCCGGCCTCTGCCGCGCCGCCACCTCCACAGCCACCGCCGCCCCCTCAGAGCAGACTAGACTGGGAGGGCGGCAACCAACCAGGCTTATTTAAAAGGGGTGGGGACCCGACTAGCGCCGAGAAACACAGCCACTGCCGGCCTATTACAGCTATTTTTATAGCCATTTTCAATGAGCATAATTCACAATGTGCACAAGGCAGAAACAACTTCATTGGTAATCCACTGATGAATGCATAAACCAAATGGGCCATGTATATGCACTGGAATAGTTAGCTTTTCAAAGGGAACAATTATTGACACATGCTATAAAATGGATAAACACTGATAACATTGTCCCAAGTGAAATAAGCCAACCACAAAAGGACAAATATTGACTAAATTCACATCATGAAGAGTCACCCTGGTCAAAATCTCAGAACTAGATGGTGAGATGGGGGTCTTCAGGGGCTGGGGGAGTAGAGAGAAGGAGAGGTGTTATTTAGTGATTGTACACATGTAGTTCAGCATGATAGAATATTTCTGGAAATGTATGGAGGCAATAAATACGCAATGGTATAAATGTACTTAGTTCTGCAGAACTATGCACATGGAAATGATTAAAATAGCAAAATTTTCCTAAATATCTTAACCCAAACTAAAACTCTCTTAAATGTATGAAGTTATTCTAAATGTAGATTCACAATGTATATTTTAATGTAAATAAAGTAGTATCTTGAGGCATGTTGGAAAAATTTATCTTCCATTATTGTTTAATAGATGGTAATTTGCAAAAAAGTATTAGAACAGATTATTTTTATAAATTTGATTCAAATCAATATCAGAGTAGACTGATACAATCATGTTTAATTTACATAAGAAATTTCAATTCTGCAGTAGAAAGTATGTTATTGGAAATTACTGATGCACTAGACACTACAGTAACTTCTGTCCCCTGTTGCTGGAACAGTCCTGTCAGTGACACACTGTCCATCAGATGGTCAGTTACCCTGACTTCAGAGTTGGAAAAGGAGCAAGGGACTTAAAAAAAATACCATGTCAGATCTGAAATGTGACACTGCACCTCAGGAATGCCGGTCAACATCTCTCTGCTTCTCCACACCCAAGTGGACAAGAGCCACAATACAGCACCATATTGTGTTGTGCACTTAAAATTCATGTTCCTGACACTGGAGCAGCCTTGGGCATCCAGCATTTATTTCAATAGGTAAAAGAATGTTTTCATACAAAAATAAAGCTCTCTCTATATATGAACCCTATTTTGAACATTTCCGCTTACTTTGATTTTCTTATATGCCCTTCAATTTGTTTAATGTGGACATCAGCAGTGCCAACATTTACACTGAAGGAGAGAGCAGGCAGGAACACTCAGAGGACAGAGTTGGGCAGCAAAGCAGCAGAGACTTTGGGTCAGGATTCTGTTCTGCCTGAGAGGAGAGATGGAGGCAGGTACTTTACTGACTGTCCTCACATGCTGTCCCCAGGGGTGTGATAGTGTCTGTCCAGGACTGAGGTGGATTTAACCCTAACAGTAGTCCCTTCAGGGTGACACATCCCACAACATTTTACAGATGAGAAAACTGAGATGCAGAGATGGTAACTGAACTGTCCTAGCACGCTAGTTATGAAGGTATACACACACATGAAATATATACAGATTCTGTGTGTAAGAATAATGCCTTGCACACATGTCCCACTACTTAAGTATACATGTTGAAACACATAAGAACATATATTTTTGCAAGTAAATACAAATGTATTTCAACATGGTTTAGAAGTCTGATTATTTTTCTAATATCTTTAAATACTGATCCTGAAATAAGTCCACATTGTAATAATGAAAAACAAGAAGAAAAGAAGGAAAATTCATTGAAATATTAATTTGCTACAGTTGATATAGGATTGAGAAAGGATGTGAAAATCACCAAGGCTCAGGTAAAATTATTTTAGTGTTTAATACTTTGGCATCTTGTTGTGTATCATTTATCACCTGGTTTTACTGGTGTTCCACTTGAATCTGAAACAAATATAAAATCTTACTAGAAAAATGCTGTTTGGACAAAAGAAAATGAAAATTTGTGCTTTATTCCCAGGGATGAGATGGCCCTAGAAGGAGAATTTGATTACAGATAAACAACTTTACAATCCACAGTGTCAATCATGTACATGTGTGGCCCGCATGTAAAAATGAATTCTCTGTTACCATTTGAAGTCAAAGTGCATCAGTTCATTGCATAGACCTCTTTTAATGCTTTCTATTTAGAGTAGAAAATGAGACACTCTAAGGCATTTCTTAGGATTCTCATATTAGTAAAATACATAGATTTCCCCCATGTAACATCCTTGTCTGAGCAGGAATAAGAGAACCACAGACCCTTGAGTCACTGGTGCCCATGGAGGGACCAAGTGATAGATCTGGGAAGCAAGGAGCGGTGCCCCCCCAGAGTCTGCACTGTGCAGTTTTCACTTCAGCACAGGCTCCCCCACTCTGCTCCCTGTTGATCAGAGGATTCTCAGAGAGGGATCGTATACAGCAATGCTGCTTTCACTGCACCTGTTCTGATCATTTTCAGAGGTGGAACAAGTCTCTGAATTTACCCAGAGACTCTAAATTTCACTTTGTAGCAAGAAATCCCAGAGTCCACTTTTAAAAGCCTCTGAATGAAGTAAGTTGTCAAGCATTTAAATACTAAATAAATAAACACATATTTCTCAAGTTCATGGCACAGTCTCACTGGTTTTTCAGAAATCTGCATCAGGTTTCTCTTCTCCTGATGCTTGCAACACCCAAGTGCTCCTGAGTGACCATGCACTGCCCCACCTGCCTGGTGAAGGTCTAAGCTCTCTAACCCTGAGAATGAACTCGGTCTTACTGGCAGGGCTTTGGTATCATCAATTCTGGAAAGCCACCACAGTCCTTACACAAACCTGGCCATACCTGAGTCTGGACCACTGAGAGATGTTCTGCACTGAGCTCAGTACACTTGGATTCACATCATTGTGAAGTGAGCTCTGTAGAATCTCAGGTGGCAGAGGGGAGTTCGTGAGGAGAGCACTCACAGTGTGTGGGGAGCTCTCCTGGGTCCCCTTCTATGTGGGCATTTTACCACAGATTCATGAAGATGAGCAAACACTGCAGAGCTCCAGATTATTCTCCTTGCTTAGGAATAAATGACCTCATTGCATAAGTACATAATATTTTTTTCAATATTTAAAATGGTATAAAAAACTGTTTCAGTGTTGATCAAATTTAAAGTACCCAGTAATAATTTTCTGTGTTTGAGTGTCTCTAAATGCAAAGTTCCACAGTGACAGATTAGCATTTATACAGAAGCAGGTAAGTGATGGAAAGACATCTCATGGATACATAAAAAGTCATTACCTAAGTCAGTCCCTTGATTTTTTTTTGAGAATTTTTATTCATCTACATTGTATACATCACCAGATAAAGTTCAGGTTTAAACATTGATCTAATTCTAGCCTTGACCTCTAGAAAGGTAAACTTGGGCTGCTCAGGTCTCTCTGAGTCTGCAGAGACACAAATGTGGATGCCTACAGGCTGCCCATGAGAACACATACCTTGCAAACTCAGGGTGTGACTTGGCCAAGGACAGCACAGAACAATGGTGGGGATTTAGAGTATTGCACTAACCTCTCCATCCTCATCAGTATCATTACCATCACAGGTACAAAAATGCTTGCTTTCCACTCTGCTCTTC